TATACAATGACAACCTTATTAAGACAGTTTTGTATAAACATCACATGTCCATCATAAATGTGTACACTCATTTTTCATAAGAGTATTAATGATTATCCCTTCTTTACAACTTTATTTTCACTGATTCTTTCCCCCTCCCTTTCTTTCCTATTTGCCTTAGTTATTGTTGTTGTTATTTTATGAAAAGAGAAGACGACTTTTAACCAAGTAGATCAATTAAAATTGAGTGTCAAAAACTTAGTTGGTATTCCAAATGATATAACTTATGACGTTTTAAATATAACTACAAAAACATGGTAATATAGCTTTACTGAACACTTTCATAGGTGTCGTCGTAGTTTAAGTGTGAGTTTGAAGTTGATTTTCTAAAGAAAGAAAGAATTGCAAGTATATGGTATACCAGATATTACTATGTTTTATCTAGACTCAAAAACTCAATTATATACATAAGATGTAAGATCACAACAGACAAATAATTAATCAATCTCAATCAGTACACAACTAGGACAATAATGGGATAGCTGAATGACAGGTTTATTAATAATGACATGTAATTAATGAACGTCGAAAAATACCGCAACATTCATTGAGTCAAACGATAGCTTAGGACTAGAGGGATATAAAAATACTACAAAACAACTGTTTAGCAAATTGATAAGTTGTGCGAATTGAACGCTATATTCGTTTCCTAAGCTATTCTGTAACCCCCAAGCTAGCACTATACAACGACCTGAACAAGAGAGAAAAGACGCAAAATATGCGAGAAGCACCCCACTCCAATGGTTCGTTTTAATAGAGAAAATATAGGTTTTTTTAATGTCCTTGGGTTGCTCGAAGATTCTGGAATGCTACTAAACAGTAGCAGTATAGCAATCAGCCAATCAGAACCTCTACATGTGACGTTTCACTTCCTTGATGTTTCTGGCTAAAACTTCAAGTGAACGCTGGATGAAATGCTTCTTAGTGTTTCCTGGTCCTTGCTTGTCTTTGGCCAGAAATTTTCTGGATCACCCTAACACAAATACAAAGAGAATATAAAAACTGATTATTCCATAAGTAGTTTCTTGAAATTTACAGTATCCTTCTCAAGCTTCTTTCTGATAGTTCGAATGCAAATACTTTTATAAAATCTCAAAGAAAATGAAGAGTATAATCTTAGTAAAACTGAAATGAAGCATCGACTATACAAATTGTATAGAAAAACTAGTTTATTGACTTACAATACAGGATATTGTATTTAATTCCATTTAAAATTGTAGAACAAATAATTAAGTGGCAAAGAAAATGATACGTTTTAGATTTTGATAACTAGCTGAAGCATTATTTATTAGTTTTTCTGAAATAAAAACAGTGAAGAGATAACCAAAGGAACAGCCTCACTATCTGTTCACTGAGTTTTATGGTGTATGGACATCAGTTCTAACGCTCATAAAATAATTAAAGCGAATCGATCAGTTATCCTACCATTTCAGCTTTAGATATTCATCTAACTGGGCTAATGGCTTACTTTAGTTCATTCAGTCCCTTAAGGTTTGTTTTTGCCTAGTAAGATTTGGATGGAACGCGATAGATAATCTTAGGAGTTAATTCCTATATTATTCTGGTGACTAGTCTCAACCAGCTGTTCAATGATAGAGCTTTAAATTTTCCCCTTCTGTTCTATATTGGACTATGAATGGTGGAAGTTGTATATATATGTTAGAATTTTTATCCTTATTAATAAGGATTATTATTATCATTACTATTGTGCTTTGAATAAACTTTTAAATTTCGCCCACAAAGGATGAGCCTACTAAAAGATGTGAATGTCATATGATCTATTCTAAATCTGTTCACGATTTTAACGCTCGACGATTTTGAACTAGTACAAAATAGTTTCCTGATGATACAACGTTTACGATTATTTTCCAAGTGAATTAGTTATAGTATAGAACTCGTTTTCAAGCATTTTTTCTAAACTTTATTTTAATGATAGTTTTAAGTAAAAGTTTTATAAACTTCATTTTAAAGCGTTTTGTCAGTCTTTCTACTTGAGGTGGAAAGGTAAACATCTGTAGACAGTAATCGGATCTCCGTATTTACTTTGGTAATATCTGGCATATAAGTAGATTGTTGGCTTTTCTACCTATAACTAAATTTACTTTTATAAATGTATATTTCTAAACACAGGTCGCACGCACACAAACATTTTTTTTCCATAGTTCACTTTACAAGATAGGAACAGGTTTGTGCCCGTGTACACACAAGCAGAGTGTAGTTGAACTTTTGATGGCTGGACAAATAACCAGCCAATCTTATAAGAATATAAGACACATATATTAGAATAGATTATTCGTGGGGGACAAACGAAGTGAATTAGAGAGGGGACATTCGAATGCCCTAACAATTGCATAGTAAATATTTGAAAAACCATAATTATATTAAACCTCATGATATAAATACTAATTAATGTTGTAGGAATATTAATGATAATAATGTTAATAGTAAAAATAATAATTTAAATGTTCGATTGAAGGGAAGGCGCTTGTCTGTTTCCCTGCCTACTATGTGCCTGATTTACTATAATTTCACTGCCTATCATAATTTACTTTATTAGCCTGTAAATAAAGGAAGCTGGAAAAGATAATTACCTTATACAACTGATACTTTCTAAAACATAATTTTAAGTGAGTAAAAATCTTTTTACTATCATTATTTTATTATGTAAGGTCTTTATTTAAAAAAAAATATGATTACAGTGTAAAGTATATTTAATTAGTAGCAAGTGATCTTTATTAGTTTAATTGGTTTTCCATAGTTCTTTATATTCGTTCACAGACGTTTTTCATAATAATTATTGACTAAATTCATGAAAACCACAAAGAATTCGTCGACTTCTATGATAATATAATGGTGAAAGTCAAATTTATAAGTTTTGAAAACACGATACAAAGACAGTCTTTATTCAGAATTGTGAATCTTTGGTTATTCTAATTCAAATAATGGAATTCCAAAGTGATTTTATACACATATCGAAATCTAAGTATTTGTTGATTTACAATTATTCTACCGGTCAAGATCTATTTTCGACAAATTTCCATAATATACGCAAGGAAATAATCATCTGATACTTAATATTGGATAGCTTAGAGATGGATTTCTCAAAGTAGTTACCATTTATGATAATAGATGATGATAGTGTCATACGTAAGTTGATTGAAGTGTGAAAATATGTACCACTGAAAAATATTCCATCAGTTTCAGAACGGAGAATATGCTAATAATTTTTACATTGAAAACAATTAATTAAGAATAGATAACTTGTTATTAGATCACGTTATACTTTACTCTACAGTTCTGATTGGGTCTTTGAGTCATTTATCCTGACGGTCAAAACCCCCAGCTTATAAGATATGTTTAAATTACCATTAAATACGGATGATACCTTTGTGGATATCAAATACTATGTTCATGAACAATACTAGTCCCTACGTGGGGTTCGTTGCAACCCATGTAATACCATCTAATCATATTTGGGTATAGGACTGAATAATATGGCTTCAATTTAATAAAAATACGATGGATTTGTGGATGGTACTTACCTCAAAGTATGAACAACCAGATATCCTCATTACCTAAAGTTCCGTAATAGTTTATAGAAAGTTAAATAGTTGAAAACCAAAATGTAATAACTGAATAAAATATTTCAGATATGTAGTGAAAAGGCTGGGAGGTTCTAGTGAAACATAAGTACTTTCCATAAGAATCTTACAATTATCCACTTCAAACAATGGATGAAGAGTTGCGAAAGATCATGAATTGATTGAAATTAGACATTAACACCGTTTGATACCGGCTAAGTGGTCTAGAGGTTAAGTGTTCTTGCGCAGGAGTGAAGGTCTTAGGTTCGGGTTCCGCATGTGGGATCGTGGGTGAGCACTACAGAGGAGTCCTGTACTAGCAAGAAACGGCCGTTCAGTCCGTCCAGGTTTTCAATGATGGTCTAGCTTAAATCGACTTGTAATTTCAAGTGTGAAAAAGATTACGTGTTCTTTTACATATTGTACCATTATGATTTCGTTCCATTTATTTGTACTTGCCACATGGCTTTTTAATTCAATATCTTGTTTGGTCGCTGATGCCAATCTTTTCACTTTATCAACCATATGTCTTCAACAAACATCTTTCAAAGGCTGGGAATGAGACTAATTGAGCGTCCATGATCCAACTGCTAGATACTTTTTAAGTGGACTAAGAATTTTTAATTATGAAACGTATCATCGAGGTCTCCACTCAATATTTACTCATTCTAACAAAATTTGATCAGCTACAATCTTAAGTATCTACTACAGAGGAATAAAATCTTTTACAAATACAAAACTTTATTTGAAATACATCACAAGATCGTGGAATTTATATGGTCGGTAGTTTTCAGGGATTGATTAACTTAAATTGAGTTGTAACTTGGTAAAAATCCCGATGAGAGGTTTAAGCGCCTCTAACTTTTGAAAAATGACTTTCTTAATCTGGTAAAATAATTTTATTATTCTATGTCAAGAAGCATTTTGCCTTAAACGGTTGAAGTGTTCCAGTCATGACTATCCGTAAAGCTTGTCAGTTTCTGTTTGTTAAGCTTGATTTACAAAACGAATGATCCATTTTTTTATTCTAAAACCAAAAATAAGGGTCGCCTACTGAATATAATAGTCATTTTTACCTACACTGAATTAGTCTGACCTGCTTGGTGTCTGTTTGTATAGCAATCGTAACTTCAGCTCACGTCCAAGTTGCTACAAATGTTACATGGGTAGTTACTTCATCTTTAAGCTGTAACTGTGGTTCTGACAATTTCAATTTTCAAGTCTAATCAGTTCATGAAGAACTAAATAATAATGTGTATAATTAGTAGAATTAATAACCGTTCAATTCATTTATTTCAATATTAATAAGATCACAAATGATTCACTTTAATTTGCCTAGATATTAATTTAGATCCTAAATTATACATGTACTAAAAAAATATGACTGACGACGATATTACGGAAGAACATTCATTTGGATCTTGCTTGCAACCGTTAGCATTAACTGCTGGGAATACAATATTTTCATCAAAAACAATCAAACACAGAACACCTCCCTTTCCAGTCACATCAAATTACCATCCATCGCTGGACTCATTAGCTCAATCATTCCTACACTTAGATCCTAAATTAATTCAAACCGAAGAATATGATCCATCCAACAAATCATTATCATATAAAACGTTTTATGAGAATTGGTTACGCTACTTTTATCTCTTAGTTCAACAGAATAATTTACACAATAGTATAGATTCGATTGAAGAACTTCAAAAACAAATTCAGATTTATAATAATAAATACAAAGTGTTTGTGACAACAGGTAACTCAAACAACGAAACTGACTGCAATAACAATAATAATAATTTATCAAATACACACTTTCGAGCAAATACGAGGGATGATCTATTAACAGATCAAAGTAAGATATCTTGATTATTTTGTTGTTTGTTTTAATGAAATACTACGTTGTTCATTATGACAATTTCAAACATTTTAAATCCATTGATGTACAGACAAACCATCACAATTGCTTTCATGACCTGATACGTTTGTGTAGTTCATTTTGCAATGAAAATTTTGCTTTCATCTCTTACAATAAGTAGAACTGTATTAGAAAATAAAATGTGTGGAATCATTCCCCTTTATATAATAACATTAGAACTCAAATGCACCTTCACGATCCTGTTTTTTAAATGATTTCTACAAACAGTATGAAAAGAGAACGTCAATAATATCACTCATGGTGGATGGACGGAGTGATATTAATTTTCTTATGAACTACTGAATCTTGTTTGAAATGGATAATTTAGCTGAAATTTTTACCGATAAGAAACAAAATCGTCTTTAAACTATCTATGAGTTCTAATTTATTCCGACTAATAATGAAAATAAAATCACGTTAAATGGTTCATTAACATCAGTGAAATGATGTGACATCCTAAAACACTTTCATACCTTCAGTTTAGCCTAGACTTCAGTTAGAGTAGTTATATTTTGATGCAAAGAAATGATAAATAAATTAATAATTAAAACAGCTTGATAAGGAAACATTTTTCTTATCGAATTTATGGTTGATGCTTTTATTTTTCAAATCATGTAAAGTCAGTGACGATCTCTGATTACTGATGAAGCGTCTAAATAAATGACTATTTCTAAGCCGTGTAGTTTATAAGTCAGTATGACTATTTTGTAGTCAGATAGATAAATTAGTAGTGAAGTCAAATTATATACTCACCCAAATTTAAATATCCACACATATTTATTCCTTTTAGCACATGATAACTGTTCAGTTGTATGAATGTTCAATTATAGAACAATTAAATCAATATTTCTTTCTTGTTGGAATGATTAGCAAACAATAATTAATGTTTAATGAATGATGAATCAAGGATAAAATGTACTATTATATAATAAAATATCTGAGTTAATTGATATTGATTATTTTTGGAGCTCTGTTACGTTGAGTGGATGATGTTAACATATTTTACAAGAACAGGAATTGTAATTACGCTTTTGTGTAACATGCCGGTTTCGTGATTTTAAAACTAAATATTATCAAACTAGGTGTTTAGTTCAAATGCTTTATATTCACTCATTAGTAAAGTAGACATTATCGTTTTTATTAAATTGTAACTTTCTCCATTTAAAGTCTGTCACAAGTTTATATAGTGGAAACAATATTACACATAGCTTCTGTAAATGGGAGTTACTGCGCTAACTAATAAATAAGCCATAATTATAAACAGGTGAATAAAATTAGAAGAAAATTCGGATTACAGTCTGCTACCATAATCTCTTGATATATCGCCGGTGTTTTACTATTTCGGTTATTATTCTTACAATAAAAAATCTATTCTTTCTCCATGACGATCTGAAATTGTTTGAACAATAAGATATGATTACATTTCATATCGATCATTGTTAAATATCTGGGATTAACAAGGAGAAAGTTCCTTACTTATATTTCATGTTTACCAATACCGATTACAAAGGAAATACTTTTGTCACTAGAGATTTCCCTTCAGTGTTATTCAGTACTGCAGTTAATAACATTGGTGTTAATGTGTTTAAATGTGAACTGCCGTCCTTGTGGATAGTTTGAAATCACCTATATTTTTCGAAATATTTTAAAGTTTGGACATTAGGTTTACATTATTGTTCATTACTGATCTCTGAAAATCGCTTAGGAATAATTGTCAGTTTAAACCCGAATCAAGTTGAACTGCTTTGACCATGGAATAACTTCGGTGACTCTATAGTTTATAAAATAATGTCACCAGAGATACATAGTTGAAAATTTCCCCAACAGAATGTCTTTAATTTATTATCGTGATATTTACTAAAAGAATATAAATTATGGGAATACATTTCTCAACTTTAGCTTATCTGGGTTAATAATGTTTATAAAGCAGAAAATAAACAGATTTACAAAATTATTTTATGGTAAGTATTTCAAATGATTCGAGATGAAATTGACAAAATCTTATTACTGGTATGATGAGACAAGTTCAGTGAATCGACTATATATCAGTGACATATAGAGGGTTATGAATTTGCTTTCTTATGCTTCATAATTCATGTCAAAAACAGAATCATATTTTTAAAAGTAGAATTTGAATGTTCACTTTTTACCTAGATAAAGTCATCAGACAAAACTCGACATCATACTTTCTCCTTATTTAGATGGCTTTCATCTTTTGTAGTTGGTGGCAGTTTGACTTCACAGGATCAATATAAGTGTGAACAAATTTCCAACCAACAAAAAACTATTTCATCACACTTAAAGAACAACTTACTTATTAACAATCAATCGGTAGCATATGATTCAGATAGTGAATGTGAATCCCTGCTATCAAATTTAAATCAAGACTTAGTCGATTCAAAGACTGCTTCAAATGATCAAACAGATAATTCGTCTTTACGCACTTCATCAAAATCACAAAGATTGAAAACAATGATACAAGAGAAGGAAGATAGAATTTCACTTAATGATGATTTGGCGGAAATATATGAATTTGCACACTTGTTTAAATTGCGTAGACTCAGTTTGGGTTTGACACAGACACAAGTTGGAGCTTCTTTAAATGCCAAAGAAGGACCTGCCTATAGTCAAAGTGCAATCTGTCGGTAAGTCATAACCTTGGATTAAAGTTTGTTATTTTTATTTACCGTAATAAATTTTTAAAAAAACATTTAGAAACATAAGATTCTGAACTGCCACTAGATTACAGCTTTGACTCCTTAAAAGTATTTACTAATAACCTCTATCTTCTTTCCAAAAATAAGTATTATGTATGGGACTGATCATTTGCCACAAAGTTAAACTTGGAGTATGCAGCATGTTATTATCAATAGTTTACAAGCTAAGAAGTAGTTAGAATAAATTTCCATTCACTGTTACCAGAAGCGTTGAAAACAATGGATTGCATACAAGACACTGAACCGTACTATTAAAGCGATCATTGTAACTTACTTTTTGGCATTTCCATATTTAATTTTACCAGGAATTAAAATTTGAGCTTCATAAATAGCCCGCATAACCCAATAAAAATAACTTTCTTGAATCATCTTTCTTTTATGAAACCTGGGACAAGACGATATAATTACGAACAAACAACATAATCTTGTGGGCAAAATTCATTTGAAAAAAGGGAAATAAGGTTGAAACTAAAAAATCAATCAAACTTAGCGGTGTTGGGTCATTGATAAGCACAATTCCTACGTTAAAAAACGCGAATCATTCCATTAGCAGGTTGGTTAGGTTAATAAAGCAGGGAAGAATGAACAACGAAATAGCTTGAACATAAAGTTAAGCGAACTCACTCTACAACATTCTGGCACTTACCCATGAACAAAATTTTGGTATCTTAGATTTAAACACTCTTATTATCAAAATTATTGTTAGAAATTTAAACGAATAGGAACTTACCTAGGGTTTGACCAACCTATTGTATAATAGTAGATGAACGTACTTAAGTATGTTAATTAATATCACTGTCCAAATATTTTGAAGCTAACCTTATGGTTATCAACCTGAAAGTCTTTGGGTTTTTAGGAAGGCTATAAACATATACCGCTTTACAATCTTAATTTGAAGCATGGCTTATTAGCATATTTAAAACGTTGTTTAAATGTTGATTCTACGTAACCGTCTTTGTTTAAAAACTATATTATGAGCACATAAAAGTGCTAAAAAACTAAAATATACTTTCTGATGATCTGTTTCAGATTCGAGAAACTTGATGTAACTTTAAAATCCGCAAAACGAATGAAACCTGTCTTAGAACGTTGGTTATCTGAAACCCAGGCAATGCATCACGATGGAGCAAATGATGCCTTTGGAGCTCAACTTGTACACCGACCACCTAGGAAGCGTAAACGTAGAACCTGTTTCAGTACTAAAGCACTAAAGTGTTTATTGCACCAACTTGAGAGGAATCCTTACCCAACAAGTGATTATATACTTATTTAGAAATAAAAATTTCCTTAATTTCCAGTATTAAACTTTATAGTGATTTAAGTTGTTGATAGAAAGTAAGGCCCACAGTTATTGGGCATTTAGTTGTATCTGAATTCTATTAATCAGGTTTGAAATTCAATCAGTTAACTAAGTTACTTGATATTGACGTATATTTTATTTAATAGTGAATCCTTCAAGCCCATTGCGAGTAATCAGTATACCTTGGTTTTGTACTTGTTGCACTTTTCGGCAGCATGTATCTATGATCATTACGAAAGAGAAATTCCATCACTGGTTTTGAATCTGAAACTTTGGCAGTCATATAATGGACTAGATGCTGTCTAGACACTCCAATGTGGAGTGCCGAGCGACTTGGATTCAAGTCTTTACAAGATTATGGGGCTCTTCAATGTCATTTTATTGATAAACTACAAGAATAAGGCCTAGGTGGATTGTTAATTCCGGTTTACCCTGAGTCATCCAACGTGCAGGATCAGGTTCATGACTGGGTATAAAGTAGGACATACATTTTTAGAGTAATAGAAGTGAATCATTGTGTTAAAATATTTTCTTGATATAACGAAGATAATATCAAACCATTTACTGCCAATCAAATTAATTATTTCAGATGAGATACAGCCTTTGACGAGAGATTTCTTAATCAAAGCTATATTCCTGCTTGAGAATTTCTACAACAATTCAGTCTTGAAACATCAAAATCAAGATACTGATATCCAATCAGACTGGTGAAGTTACTTAGATATATCTACCAAATGTATGAAGCTCTAGTAAATGACCACTGTGGCTGATAGTGATAATTTCATTGATTAACTGCACATGTAAACCTGCAGTAAAACTAACTTGAAAACTGTTCCTGACTTCAATTTATTTAAGAGATATTTTCCTTTCGGAATAAAATTAATTCGTGTTCATTACTCCGGAGACCATTAAAACGGTTCAAACAATCATAAAACCACTTTTTATAATAAGTAAAAATGTATTAGTTTGGTCACTGTAAATAATGTCTGATGCTTACAGATAAACGTCATTCAAATATCGCTATTATCCACTGTATTTGTTTATAGTGTATAGTGTATATAGTAACATAATGTACTGCGATAATCCAACTAACTTAATGATCTGTAGATTAGCATGATTTTTTCTATTATTCGAATAAACGTGCAACGAACAACACAATTTGAACAATATACTCAGATAAATTATTTACGAACAGTTCTGTTAGTTTTGATATCAGAGTTAAACTTATGAAATCTAAAAATAGTTACTAATATCACCCGGTAAGCTTTAGCAGTAACATTTCTGTCCATATAGGAATTCGACAAGTACATCCATTTGTTTATTTGACTACGTTGCAGAAAGTAACTAAACTAAACACAGTAAAACATCTCACTTAGATATTGAGAAGGGAACATTTCGGGCACATGAGTGTTCTTGTGTGTTTTTGAAGTAAGATTTACCTACTTTGTACTGCAATTTGTGGATGAAATTTATTTATCAAGTCTTGAAAAAATACTGTAAGGTAGGCGAAGGACTGAGTTGAGACACAAATAGCGTTTGTTATACTTTTTACATATAAACTTGAGAATATAATGCAAAAATCGGAAATTATTGAAGTTAGTAAAAACATAGAACTAAGTTTATATAATATTTAGAGTTAACAATTACTGATCAAATGAAACTAAACATTATACTAATGAAATATCATCTTCTGGTGTGAAAATAGAAGCTATATTGCTTCTTATCTACCTTGTTTGTTCTTGGAAGTGATTTTTAGATTTTAAATGATAATTGTGAATAAAATAAACTATTGCTTACTGATGGTTCTTTTTCATCTCTCAGCTGCTAGAAATATGAAACAGTCTACATTACTGTACATGATCTTCTTATTTCTAGAAACATCATAGTGTTCTGCCACTGAGGATTTTCTATGATTTAACTTTGAGTTATTATTTACTAATCCATTTTTTTTAATGTTTTCACTTTTAAATGCGATATTGTTTTATAAAACACATTTTATAAAGCACAAGATTGCTTAGAATTTGTCAGTCTCCTATCAATCTACTTTTCTGTTTCATTGAACTCCTCAAAAATGTTATGATTGTTTTTTAAACTGAATTTTAGAAGCTGAAATGACTGAGTTAGCCAAAGCCTTGACTTATGATCGTGAAGTTATTCGTGTTTGGTTTTGTAATAGGCGCCAAGCCATTAAAACCACTGAAAAGCAAACAACATCTATTCACCTTTAATTCTCTGGGTAAAAACATCTTTCCACCTTCGAAACATGACCTGTAAAACAAAAAATTTTCCTGTGGATGGATCTAAAGTTCTCGTTATCATGATTTGTATTTACATTATTGATAAATTTATTCAACTGTTTGTTCAACTTTTCTATTTTAAATTTTGTCGTTCAAAAACAAAGCAAATACCAACATCCTGCTGAATGACCTATTTAGAACGATAGTATTCATAATCATAAGTAGAAAAAAATTAAATAATTTATGGAGTAATTAAAAGTACTTTATTTAATTAACGTAATAGAAATATTCCCAGATCTATCCAAAATGTACTCAAATAGTCACAAATGAACCAGGGGTTGCTGGACCACGTCCAATAAGACTGGCTGTTATATACAAAACACTTATTATATAATTCAAATGGAATAATTAGGTTTATTCGAAAAAAAGTTCTATTAGCTGGGTAGACTATGTAACTTGTCTTTAGAATCTATCCTATCCCTTGTTCTTGTCCAGCGCATCAGGAGAGTTACTTTTAACACTACTCATCAATTCGTGATTTAGTCATCCTCCATGAAGATGATATTAGTAGATTATAGTTAGACTGACATGAAACTTCGGTATGTCATCATCGATCTCGATGATACTAAATCTAAGCAGTGCTATAAGACTATCCGGAACCAAAGTATTGTTACATTTCAATAGTCTCAGACGCAGTGCGCAAACCAACTTCAGTAAGATATTATGAAGTACCTCAGGCAACGTTTCTATCTCATAAATTTAGAGACTAAAACTTATCAACGGATCAGTATTTTAGTTAGGAAGATGAAAGCACGTCACGTGGTATAAGATGATCAAGATTGGAATGCGATGTCAATTACTTCAGAGAAACGTTTTTGTAAGCTACCTCTTAAAAAAGTGGCCATCGAGAATATTTTATTTTCTGTAGATGTTGGCCAAGATTACAACTTAAAGTCATTTGTTATTAGACATAGAACAAGGTTTCATAAACTGAATTTATATTAAAGTTTGAAGTTGTATAGACCACCAGGTGTCTGTTTAAGAGGATTATAAATGTCATCGTCAATTAGGGATTTAGAGTGATGACCAGTTTCAAAGTTTATTCCTGGAAACCGAAAACAATTGTTATCGATCTGTGTACTTTGAAAAGTGATCTAAGATATCTCTGAAATCTATCAATCTAGCTAAATGAGTCTTTAAGCACACTGCAAATGCAGCTGACATCGACTACAAACTTCCCTTTAAATCTAAATCTAAATGACACATAAGTCATAAAAATCATAACTCGGAATCCATGGATCATTGTTGTTTAGCTTTCATTTAAAGTTTGTAACATAGTATTAATGTTATGACGAACTCTTACGACGTTGGGTAAAAAAGTTTCTGATACAAGTTACTCAATACCATTACAAGCTAAAATTGGATGCCGTCGGTAGGCTACACGGCAGTGTTTGAAAGATAACTCACATATCTGGAAATGAACTGAGAGAACCACTAATCGCGGACCACCGAAGATCCTGTGCTTACCTTGAGATAAAAGGCTTCATAAGTTAGATTTGTGCATACTATCCAATCGTAAATTATGTTTTGACTCAGTTACTATCCATAGAATAATAAGAAAGTATTAAAGACATGATATATGGCCTCTGTTTTACTAGGTTAGATTAACTTGGAAGTGAGACATATACCCATGAAACACAGGTTTGTCTTAGTAATAATCTATTCATCAAACCTAGTTTCGGAAAATTAGTGTTTGCATTTTTGCTGTATCCATTCAAAAGATTAGATGTACAAACATAACCATACTTCATAATTACTGACACAGATATTAAACCTATTTTTAAAGAAGAATTTGGGGACCTCTGTAACCAGTCAGACTTGAATCTTTTAGGTTTTTGAGTATCCATAACCTAGTTTGTTATTCATTCATCTTTCGAATTTTCGTATCAATGATTAACCATGAAATGTAAAATATTTGTTTATATACGATGATAAGTGCCACCGAAAATCGTTTAGCTGTACAACCCATAAAAGTGTGGTGAGACCGAACTATAATCACAAATACAGTAGGTAATAAATGTTTGCAAATAAAAGTAGTGTCGTCTGAATCAACTTAGAAACAATTTAAGTACTTGTTTTTGCTAGAAAATTTATATTTAACACTTAGTTTATTAATAGTAAGCGAACTATGGTTGGATTTTAATAGATATTAAAAGAATGGTGAGTAGCTTAATTGTTATTAAAACAATTTATCACACATTTTGTACTCTAAAAGGAGTATCTATGTTAAACTACAAAACAATTTATATGGTTTTAAACCACTTCCAGTTGCGATCTGATTAGTTGAAGTTCAATTACTTTTCATAATGAATAAAATGTTACGACTTTTACATTTGAAAATAATTTGATCAGAAAATCGTTTAAGTCATTTGAGCAGTTTAGAATTAAAAAAATTTTACACTGAAAATTTATCATTTGAGTGTGTAGTGTAAGTTTTCACTATACAAGTTTCTAACCACAATACTGAGGTAGAAATTTGTTTATTTGACGCATTCCATACGCATTTCTCAACCCTACAGTATTATGAAAGTTTAACCAATGGAATGATCACAGTCTAGAGAATGGAACTTAAGAAAATAAACTAATCCGTAGCGTAACTTGGTTAGTGATGTGTAGACGAGAATGGTAATGATCGGTTGTCTGCTTAGTCAGACATGTAGATAGTCTGACAGGTGTCAGAGAGTTATATATTCCCCTATCCTTATAATAATTATTATTGATTGTTCTTCGTTATTGGACTGTGTCGGTTTTTGGTATGGTAATATATTGAAGTTCTAGTCAGGCTAATCACGTGTTCTTGATCTGAGTTATGTTGAAGTCCAGTAAAATAGACACTGGGGGGGGGGAATCTAGTGTGGATATTCGTCTAAGGTAAATTAACGTCCCATACGTGTAAACGTGAAAACCCAACCGTTATAACAGTTAGAATACAAAAATTGGTGTATAAATAATAAATAAAATGTTCAGTGAAAACTTGTAAATTATTATCGAACCGTAGTAAATACATTTTCGCTTGTGAAAGTATTAATCACAAATTAAATAGTAGTAAAATAATTGACGAAATTCATAGTTCAGCTAAATTACTTTGATGTGATCCGTAGAATAATTGATATGTGTGCAAACCGGTCCCATAAAACTAATCAACATGCTTTGAGTGGAACTAAGAGTGCAGTGCTAGATACGTTGTCTTTTGTGACTAATTATGTAAAAACTGGTAATATTTCGTTACTGAAGAGCTCAAAATGGATAAAAATATCTGTTACGCAACCACAAAATGGATATATCAGCTGCGTGATCAATTGATTTCACAGATTAACATATCACATCTGGAAAAAGCGTTCATACAAATGTCGAAGTGTTCTTTTCAAGATGCTAGAACTGCGTGTATTAATTATGAGGCAGTGCATGGAATTGACTTCTAGGACATCAAGAATTCTAATACAGTGCTTAGTTATCCGAATTCGACGTGTACTCAAGGCCATACAGATAGGCGTTTAATTGCCCATAACACTCGTTCTCGCGGAAATATGGTTGACATTTCACTGAGGATTTTTAAAGCAGGTGACAAGGGTGAGCACAAGCTTGGTGAATATTTGTCCTGTGGTAAATTTCACACACGTAATTCATGTGTATTTCATCATGCTAAATGCTTAATGTGTTGTGATATCGGACACATCAAGTCGGTTTGTAAAACTACTGTGTATTTCGCTTCAAGTAATGCTAAACTTTGTAATACAGCTCTTATTAACTTGGGTGATTCTAATGACTATATATTATTTTTATTTTCAACTTCGTATTCGAAAACGATTATATTTATCCAGTGGTGCTCTTTACTATTTTATTGTTGAAACTGACAGTATTAAGTCCATCATTTCGCTTGGGAAGTTGAAGTCACTAATTATGCCTATCGAAGTTTCATTTTTAGTATCACTGGTTACTAACTTTCCATTCTTGTATTCTTTATTTTGCTGATTAAAGATGATAAATCCCCAATTATAAATTGTGAATTTCTCATCAGTGATTGTGGACCGTCTAGAAAATTTAATAATGCTTCAGCGACAGCTTTACTTTCTGACCACTGGGCATAATTCTAACTAAGTGCTGGTTACGGAATCCAAAGTCCCCTCATTTTCATGTGCAAGCAAGAAATTCCAAAACCTCGGAAGCAAACGTCAATTCTACTACTGTTGCAAAGTTAAAAGACCCGTGGGGGAGCTTTTGGAGATTACATAGAAGGGTTTACATCCTAGACTATGATCAAGAATGATGTTAAGTATGATAAAATGTTGGCTCATTTCTTCACATTCATCGGCAAGAATGCCTGCAGTTTACTAAAAAATCTGCTACAGTAATTCGAATACTTCTAATTATCATAACAAGATATATTTTCACTTGTAATCTTTGGGTGGTTGGAAATAAAATTTATGTAGAAGGAAAGAAGTGAGGGAATAAACAGAAAATAATATCTTGTGTGTCAAAAGATCAATCACGATAATGATAAATAAACAAAAGGTTTTTAGATCATTGCATAAAAAGAATTAAACAAGCAAACAAAATTTCAGAGATTCTACTTTGTTTTACAGAAAACTAGATAGGTACTGGACCTTGTTTGAGTAAATCATCAGTAATCTACTAATATTTCATGGGTGAGACAAATCACTTCCAAAACGAAAGTCATCAAATGTCGTTGAGCCCTAGCCAAATCATCCGGCAGTTGGATCACTGAATGTCAAACAAATCATCGCTCCATGCCAAGGTCATGTACAACCAACGCGCATTAGTTAATCGTATGCCATGGACTGGCCCATGCGGCAGTGGTCTTACTTTCGCTTGTATCTACTTTAATCAATATATATTTCTGTAATAACGTTCTCTGTGTTGTACAGTTTTCAAAGCATCTATGGTACCTTGATACGTCAATGGGGTAGTCCACGTAAGGTGCTGACCACGAGGTGTGACTTCGACGTTAGCTGGTTCGTCACACCATTCACGTCTAACTCGAGTAGACCTCCAATCATTTTCGATATAGATCATCTACGTTGATGATCTACAAGTGCAACAGAGGTTCGCTGGAATTCGGTTCCACACTGTTGAACAGCGGATAACTAAGAAATTCTGATGTGAGTTTGTGTAGATGCTTGAGATCGACAGAATATTCTTTTTGTTGTGCAGGTTGTGGAATTACTTGAAGGAGGATTAAGAGGTAGATACCGAAGAATAAGGAATACTATTTATAAGACAGTAGATTGAGTTTGATTTAATACGCCTGATCCAGAGAGATTCTAACTTGAGTTGTTGGAATTCTCGTGAATTACTCTTACTGTAGGAATACATCCCGAAACCTTTGATGAGTCTCTCTTGAACACATTCAATTTTCATTAAATCATCCGCAATTACCATAAACTAAAATACCATATTCAAGGATAGATATGATACTTTCTTTACATAATGCTAATCCAGATCCCATGTCATTGAAATTTATCATTATGAATCCAATATGCTTTAGATACTTACTATGCAATGTGCTCAGAAGAGTTCAAAATTTCCTTATACCTTAAACCCAAGTCGTGAACAGTGTTGAGAATTTTCAGTATGTGTTTGTGTAGAGCCAGATCCATGTTAGCTCTGAGCCAATGCAAAACAATCCACTTTCATCAAAATTCAGCGACAGATTCCACCGCACAACCTATTTGTATAACCTGTTTATTTCTTCTTGGATTATAGTTGAAATTTGACTTTTTGGTAGAAGATCTATCGTACTGAAAGAGTTAGCACATATCATCAATGACTTTTGCTTCTTCAACCGGTCGAAAGTAGTATATTCTGTCGCCTATTAACGTTATTTATTATAATCAGTAGCTTAATAATTTCATTCTCCTGGTTGTCACGACAGAATGTTCTTCTTGACGAAAACGTGAGTATGGTTACTTAGTTGAGTTGAGAAATGAGTTTGTTACTGACTGCAATCTAAGCATAAATAATGAAAGGTTTATATACGAACCATGATCTGTCAGAGTCATAAAGAGAGAACCTTTAGGTTTTCGTCATAAACTCTCTTCCTTTTCCTCGATACAACGTTGTGAGAGTCCAATTGATACTTGAGACCTTGGTAAGTTGTTAAAGCAAACAGTCATGGAATTCAGGAAGTCCATCACTAGTGATAAGTCGTGGAATGTCGGAGTGGGAGGCTAAGTTCTCTATAAGTGCTTCAGCGGCAAATTCAGCTGAAATATCCATAAGACGATTGATCGATGATCGCCCTGAGAACCTGCCTGTTCAAGGGAAGATGCAACGGAAACAAATTGAAGGAGATAGTAGTTCAATGGTATCAGTATGAAGTGATCAGATCTGACATTCTCATTGGGAAGGGAATTGAGTGGAGCATAACTATATAAGTTAATTTTATGTTTCCATCAAGTAGTATGCATCTTTGGATTCCTGTAGTGTTTGAATGAACTGATGATTCCTTTGTACTTGTTGAATGCTTGATTTCGAATTCTAAATACAGTACATTCGTTTGTGCTTACCTAGTACTTCTTGATCCGATTACGTTATTTATGGGATTCTTAGTTCATACTATAATTCAAATACTTCTAATTATCATAATTCCGCGACCCTAAAATCCGAGTGTTTTAAAATTATTTTGTGATCTGGTAATTTCCCAAATTAAACTGCACTTTAGCAAGACGAAAATAAGAACTGTAATTTACAACATATAGGTCGCACTTTAAAAATATGGTTCTCGTCTAGTTTGGAGATACTTTTTCTTAGAGAGAGTGTGCATGGGGAGAAATTTGCTAATGACGACAGTACAAGAGTAAAAATAAGACGATTCGACAATGAAAGTTAACAGCTTATAGTTTTAAACGCGTTACAAAACTGGGATATGTAGCACGCCAAATCAAACTGAATTGTATTGCTATTTTAAATCGAAATATATAGCATACGTCATTGAACTGCACAACTATTCGCCACAAACCTTTGTAGTCTAGTACAAAGGAGGACAAGATCACCCGCTACTGTTCAAGACAGCGTGCTGAAAACTTTGTTGCTACTACCGTCAATGTGGGGAAAGTCGGAAACAAAGATGGAGGTGTCTTGGACATTCTGTGCTTCCACAACACTGATATGAGAATATGTTGTGCGAACGGCACATGAACTTGACAATGAGTAAGTAGAAAGACGTATTAGGCTCCTACGCTGAAGTATCGTAAAGTCTGACATACAACTTGGGTTCTTGTAACAGAAAATGGGTTCTGACGAAATTTGAATTGGGATCTCGTGTGTGTACTTTATCAAGCGCCTTAACTTTCCCAATCTTGTGAAACCAACATGGTCAGCATCAGTGTTAAGTGCTCACAAAAGCTATTTAACGACAAAGTCCTTTTATCGTGCCTCGCATGATAACTGGCACGTCTAGCTATAAAAAAATGTACTCTGAAGAAACTCCTCCGTCGTATGCCTAGAATGATTTGTGATTAAAACGACAATAGCTCTGCTAAATACACTATAATTGACTGAATATAATCCACTCTCCTCAAGAAGAAAGCAGATGACTGTTCATAAGCATCCACTTTATGTTTAATCACTTCCTCGATGCATTTGCCATAAATAGTCAAAGCACTTATCCGTTTGCCCAAATTAATAGTTTCTAGCTAGCACCTTTCAATATTTTCAAACTACTTGGTAGCTTCCCAGATAGGTCGAAAGAACGTACCTCCAGAAAGTCATCTAGCTAGGGCAATTAGGAATGAGCCAGTCCTAGAAATTGAAATAACTTCTTAGAATAATCTAGTAATGGATGATCGTTCTTACTTCAAACGTTGCTTAAAATGGACCTGCACTCTAAAATTCATAAAGTAGTTGATTTCTTATAACTGGTGATAACTGGTGATAACCAGCTAGTGTTATTTCAAACAATTATGAATCAACAAGTAGTGCCAATTCAGTCAAAAAAGTTTCATTTTTCCATCGGAAATTCGCAACAGTCAGCCTTGGTCAAAGGTGATGAGAATTCACTTCAGCACAAAAGACAATGGTGTAAAATCCAGCCTGTGTCATGGCCTTAGAATATATGAGAATATGAAAAAATCTGATGAAATACTACTAATCTCAATAAGAGCAGGACTTCGAAAAGTCCCAAGAAAGAACACGAATTTGAATTATCAAGTATGGAAATATGTTGTGCTATCGTAAAAGATCTAAACATAACATAAAATGCTTAATTTAAACATTCAGTGCATGATTTATTCAATAAAACATCTAGCCATAATGAACATAAACAATTTTATGCCCTCTTTGTTCTCTCTCAGCTATTTTTACGGAGTATGTTCTAGGTTTTTTAATTACAATGAGCTTAGACACCAGTACATTCGGTATGTAGCCAAAGCACACACAAATCTTCACCAGTCAAGAAATTTTTATAGCACCATTTAAAACGTACGCCTGGCTTCATCTCGAGAATCATAGTACTGTCGTACTTCCTCTCCTCAAAAGAGTTATAAATCTCTTAGACCGAGTACAGAGATGGGCTGCGAAGTTAGTGACATGACTGACGGAAGGTAAGCCGAGGGCAGAATTAGCCACTTGTAATTCACCATGGATTTTAGAAGGATCGAATGTTATCTGATAACCGTACATAAAATACTCAGTACGTCAAGTCACCCCAAAAAGAATTCTATGTGAACTTTAATAACTTTGTCCTTACACTTTTTTACATTATACTGCCGGCATAATCAACCGACTTACTTTGGCTGACGATTTTCTTCTGTTCGTTCTTCAAAATATTAACTTTAACGTTGCAATCAGACATTTTCTTGCCTGGTAAGGCGATAGCTGACAGTCCCACAAACTATGCTGTCCTTGGATACTTAAGCTCAAGATCAAACTCTGTTGAGCTATTCATAACCATTGCGGTTGTGCGGATAAGCTAATATTAACGGAATTTTTCAAAGCCTTTTGAAAGTGACGACTGAGCGCCAACCACAGAGTTGGTTTGTTCTTGCTATCCCAATTATACTGGGCGAGCCATGAAATTAGTTCGGGGATTCAGATCCAAACTGGACCAAGAGGACCTCAAATAACTATCTCTACCCATTAAAATGTAGGCGTCTCAAGGCCGAAATAATGACCTAAAGAATCGCGAATACTTATGGACACCGCTTTAGACACTTACGTAAACCCAGCCTCAGCACAAAACTTAGGAGCAGCACCCAGAAATGAGAAGCACATGACAGAATGTACTGTAAGCACACCTTCTTCTCCTCTAAAGTAGATGAATTCTTGGATTATCTGCCCGATAGGGAGGTCTGAGATACTTCTCGGAAGTCCTACAAGAGGAAAAATGAAATTCTTGAGGATTTACGACAGTATTTCAATACGACTAACAAGTATTTCTCTTTCGTTTGTCAAATGTATTATTAAGTCCGTACCTTTAGACCTCGGTAAAATCGAACGCTTCTTCTATTCCGTCTACAATCATTTTAACCATTTTGATGTCAGATATTCATTGGACATTTCCAGTTGTCTGTGTGTCTTTCAAATTTGTCGGTTACATGTAACAAGTTTTTTTGCGTTAGCTGGCTGCTGACATGATGATGGGAACCAAAACAACATCAGGAGACGCCGTTTTGCTTAATATGCGAGATGAAATGCAACAATTCGATAACGACAAGACATGGAATGTTGTATATGAAGTATGAATCCCCAGCTCTATATTGATTGTTCTAGCAATTAAAAAATAAGTCTACAGTTCTGACTCAGAATTCTTCAGTCGATGCCGCTAGGGATGTCAAAAACCGATGGAAGAATCGCTACCGGGATGTTAGTCCGTGTAAGTCAACCAACAGCCTAAACATTTCCTTAGTTGACTCTACCAGGGTTTTCCTATGTAGTGCTCGTGATGGTGACTATATTAATGCAAGCTTTGTCTTCATTCCGGAGGTTCCGTCCAGAAAATATATACTCACTCAGGGTCCAATGCAGCAAACTGTGAATCATTTCTGGCTAATGGTTTGGGAGCGACAGTGCCCTGCCATTATTATGCTCAATCGCCTTGTTGAAAAAGGCTCTCTTAGGTGTCATCCTTATTTTCCTTATGATGGTGGTCCTTCTGTACTAAAATTAGAAGACGTTAATCTAAATGTCGAGTTGGAGTGTGAGATAAATGCAAAAATATTTATTAGTCGGAAATTCATCATTACAAACATTAAGGTAAAACATTTTGCCATAGTCTTCACATAAGCACTTTTTATCAGCTCATCTTTCTGATAAAAGTAATCAATATTGGCTATATAAACAACTCAATCAATTAGAAAAGTTTTGTTTTAGAAAAGTGTAGTACAAGTTAGAATATTTAGAATGAACAAATGTTTAGTAACTCGTGAGTTATTGACTAGTGCATCAAAGACGCTATGTTTATTAATTGGAGTTAAGAGTTAGAGTTAGATTGGAAGGATGTCGTACACGACAATCATGTTTATAGTCATAGCGATGAGTACTTATGAAGATAGTTATTTGACTTCAGATGTTAAGGTTTATGTATTTTGAGTTGTGCTTTTATTAGTGTTGTGACTAGGGAGATCAATCTACGTATAATGAATGTCAAAGGAGCTTTTGCTAATTCGAATGATCTCTAACGCCTTCGTGATGTTATTCCGGCTGTAGAAAGTCGGGTTACAGCTCATCAACGAGAGCAGTTGTGCTATGTGCTTAGTAAACCTGTTTTTCCAATTTGAGGTTCTTCAACGACTCCGCGTTCGATAAGCGTTATCTCCGAAGGATTCCTGACATTCAGTGGCAAAACCATGTCAGTAATGCTGAAGTTCGGTAATTTGTCCTGGGCCAGTAGTGTTAATTCGGTGTCGCCATCTTGAAACACTGGCTTTGGTAGCGAATGTCGTCCAGTTTCAGTTTGGGAGGGACAGGAGGCTTGATGGCCTGTGTTAGTCCTGGCAATTGTGGTCTCTCAGTTGATCCAACTTCCTTTTGAAAGAGTCGACGGATGGAGCCTCAACCACGTGCTGAGGTAATGAATTCCACTCGTTGATGATTTGATGGGAAAGTCGATAGTCAGCTGACAAGTAATTTGTTCTGGGCTTGTGAACTTTTTTGGAGTGTCCTCGTAAATTCTCAGTTTTGGAAGACAAGAAAAATGTGGGCATATCAGGTGCAAATTTATCACTAAGCAATTTGAAGACTGTAATCAAGTCACCTCTAGTTCTGCGATATGACAACGGGAAAAGGTTCAGCTTGGCCAGTCGAGCTTCATACGGAAGCTTCGCTATTCCGGGAATCAGCTTAGTCGCCGTTCTTTGAACCTTTTCCAGAAGCTCACTGTCTTTTTTTAAGCAGGGGCTAGCCGCTTGTATGCAGCACTCAAGTTTAGGACGTACGAACACTGTATACAAAGTCAAAAACGTCTTGGCGTCGACATGACTAAAAGCTCTACGTATTGACCATAAGGTTCTAAAACCTTTGGCGTCTATTGCACGGCAGTGTGCAGTAGTCTTTAGGTCTTGGCTAACGATAACTCCTTAGTCATTATATGTCTGGACGACAGGTAGCTCAGTGTTATTCATCATGTATGTATTTGTACCTTGATGACCGATAGGCATCCCACCAGTTTCCACACAGTGCTTTATGTTCCGACTCGGGAACTTGTCAGAAGAAGTGGACAGGGTCAGTTTATGACATGGTATCGCTATATGGAAGAAGGCTTCATAAGAATAGCGTCTGTCGACCCACTATAACTTTATTGGGAGCTTAGCGATAGTGCAACTCATTGTCTCGGGACGTTATCAGACATGATCAGAGTAAAAGTCAACGATGGTCCTGCTATAATTATTTTTTACATCCTTGAAGGTAAATGGTTGTATTGGTAACTAAACTGCATCCTGTTCTATACTAAGCTTGTTCATATATATTTTCCCCCTCTTTAAATATACTCCCTTACTCCCATTTCTCATGACTGATCATTCTGTCGTCTTACACCTAAACTGACCTGAAAAATGTGAAGAATAAGCTCGACCAGAAACTCAACTACAACTTCGTGTGACCTGGCTCGTGCAAGAATGGTATAATATGGAAGATCCACCTAGGGGAGTTGGAAAACCTTGATTCCAAACAAATGGTGTATGAACTCATTGTGGGTCACCTGCTACCGTGAGACTGCATCTCCTAACGTTCGACTGACTTGTAGATTAGACCTTTAGGTGAAAAGCACAGGGAGTGGCCCATAAGCAAGCAACCTGCTTCGGTTTGGGCACCCGGACAGTATTCCAGTCCTCACGCAAATCAAATGAAGTATGGCGCATATGTATTTGATAACTCCTTGTACCAATGTTCATGTATTTGAATAAATAGAGTGATGAACCATAAATAGGAACATTTTCTGATTTCGGGACTCTGAACATCAACTCAACGATGGAAACGACTAAACCTCGTTTCTTTCAGCCCATGTTAATAAGTCTCAGTAGGGGACTTCTATTCCTGCTGGATTGCATGTCTGGACTTCGATTACGGTCTGGTAAGAGCATGTATTTTCTTTTGTCGCACTAATCGTAGAAAATTCAATAAAATACTCATAAACTATACTTTTAACATGAGATGATCAAGAATGCATTCAGGCAAAATTATCCAAACATTTGATCACTCGTAAATAAAATGTCCAACCCGATCTGAGATTTCTCATGATAACTACTTGGGTTCAGTCACAACCTTTTTGTGAAATTGTAGCGCCTTATTTTCCGGGTCATACAGTTACATCAGTATTTTATGTTTTTTTACTTACGCCTGTTACTCCTCGTGAAGGAGCATAGGCCGCTCACCAGCATTCTCCATCCAACCCTGTCCTGGGCAATCCTTTCCAGCTCCTTCCAGTTGTTATTCATCCTTTTCATATCTGCTTCTATTTCCCGACGTGATGTGTTCTTTGGCCTAACTAACTCGCTAAAAAACGCTCACCAGTATTTTATGTGGCAGGGTCTTTTGTCATTTTTGGGCCTATCTATCTTAGACCCTCCCATCGTAATGAAACAGCGTCACTTTTTGTGCCGCTTATCTACAGGAAGACTGGGTGACATGGCTCAGAATTGGTCACAATGGCGTAGGTGTATACACTCTGTCTTCCCTGAAGAGTAAGTAATAATAACAAGAAACATTCGTCAACTAGATTCCGTATTTTGACCTATTTGTTAGTATAAGCGAATTTCAAAACCCATTGCTTGGTTAGCCAACATTTCCTGCCCCCATGTTTATGAAATGTGTCAACCACGAATATTTTCATTTTTCGTCTTTGCTACTACGTTTATGTTTTAACAATTATCCGATAGCTTTTCTTAACCAATATTCCGTTCTAACAAGTAACCCGGAAGTTTTTAAAGAAAAATTTATTAAAATCATATATTAACCTGTGGTCTGATTCATAAGATACTAATTAACGTCTCAAATGTAATCAACTATATTAAGGCGTCAAATATTGAGGGTTTTTGAGAACACAACCTATCTTACAGAGATTTTCCACTCACTGCTATGTAAATTCTTTATCACCTATCTTAATCACTAGGTCAATTTATTACGATTAGTTACTCATGAGGGGATACTGGACTCTGAGGGCGGCATCAGGTGCTCAGGTTACCTTGGTTTGGTGGGTAGTCTCACTATCGAGTATATACCATGCTAGCCATGAATTCATGTGGTGATGGTTCAGGGATTAGGAGCATACGACTGCCAGCCGATAAGGTTTGAACACTTTCATCTGCTTCGGTCTTAGCAACCGAGTGGTATCACAAGTTCCTACATTGAGTGTGTTGATCGAAGCCAAGTATTCATATCTGTATCAGATAAATAGATAAAAACCATGAATTGTAATTTGAATATGAATAGCATTTACGCATGCTATAAAAATGTAGAGGTGTTAAAATTTTCCCAGTATGACTAAAATATTAACTTTAAATGAATGTAAATGTTCTGTCTGTCCTAATACTATCAACAATACTCCCAACAATCTATTTTCCCCTACGATCCCACGTTTGTTAGCAGCTGACCGTTTACTTTTTTAAAAAGGAATTATCCACTTTTGACAACCATTGTGTGCTTTATAGTTTAATACCTAAATTCTATTTGTTTAATGTTGTGATGTCCACGCCAAATGTAACATTGCCATTTAAATCTGGTTAAGAATGAAGATTAAACTCGTCAGAGCATAAAATGTTGTTTTTATTCAGATCTACTAATTATTTTAAGTTTCATTTTATTCAGACCAATGAAGCTCATCATGTCTTGCACATGCAGTATACTAATTGGCCCGATTTTGGGATACCTAATTCTCCTGGCGCAATACTGAATTTTCTTTGGTCTGTTAGAGCTTCGGGTGCATTAAATGATCCGTGTTATCCACCAGTTATACATTGTAGTGCTGGTATTGGACGATCAGGAACATTTGTTTTGATAGATCTAGCATTAATCTTAGTAAGTTGAGTTGATTTTCAATGCTAACTATATGCCTGCCTCTACATATTCTGATGATTTTTCGTGTTTTTAATGAAAATAAAAACAGAAAACTGTTCTTTATTTTATCTTTCGGAAGAAAATGTGGACAAATTTACACAACTTGTGAAGAATTAATAATTTAATATCTATATATTGCTTTATTTGGCACATACACTTTCATGCAATTGTTTCCCTTTATGAATTTAAATAAAGCAAGAACAAATATTGGTGCAGAATAGTATGAATTCATATTATTTTGAGGTTTCTCGTCAGCTGCTTACAAACCAAAAATGTGATAGAATTTTTTTACATTGAGATAGAGTGAGAACAATTGACATAGATGAGTGTAAATAACTGGGTTACAATAATAACTATATATATATGCTGGAACAGGTCAGAGGTCAAAAGGAATTAATTCGGGTTGAGTGGTGTAATAATGGAATTGAATAGTCATAAGATAGGTTACGTAATAATAATTAAATAGAATTTGAAAAGTTAAGATAATTTAAGAGGATCGGGTGGTGGAAATGTGTGAATAATAATGTAGTTTAAGAATTATGTAATAGGGGAGGAGTATAAATATTTTAAAATAAATAAAAACAAAAACTAAATAAAAAATAATAAGAAATAAAAAAGGGTTACCAGGGTAGTGATAAGTTAACTAAAGTCTCTTTTTGAATGCATAAGTCAGGTTTAAGTTTTTTGATCATAATGGCTTCAGCAAAACGGAGGGTGGTCGTACTTCTTTGTCTATTGATAATTTTGAAAGCATGCGGAATGTCGATGGTGTGCCCGGTGTCAAGTAGATGTCGAGCTATTGCGTTGTTGAAAGCCTTAGTCCCACGTAGCCTCAAGTTTTTTGGAACATGCTCAGAAATGCGGACATGCACTCTTCTCTCAGTTCTCCCAATGTATGTGCTTTGGGACGTACATGTAGATTGGTAGATGCAGTTGGAGCTACTGAGAAAAGAGGGCTTGTCGATTTTGGTTTGTTGAAGTGAGCAGTTCGTTTGCCATACTGTCATAAGTTTTGCTGCTGGGTAGGTGACTTTCAACGCAGAGTTTATTCTGTGATTGATTATTCCAGCGATTTCATCACCTTTGAAACGTAAGTGTAAGAAGCAGGTTTTCCTTTCTACTCCATTGTATTTTGTATGAGGATTGCTTTTTGCATATTTCTGGATAAATTTCAATGAGTAATCATTATCACGTAGAACATTAGTAATCAGAATAATTTCATCATCTAGGTATTCTTTTGAACAGATTTTTTGAGCGCGGTCAAAAAGGGTTCGTACAATACCCTTTTTGTAACTCATTGGGCAGAAACTGTGGTAATTGAGATATAGACCACTCCAGGTATTCTTATGGTGAATATGTCTATGTAATTTACCATCAGATGTTCGTCGGATCCCAACATCAAGGAAATGGAATTTGTCTTCAGCTTCTTGTTCCATAGTAAACTCTATGTCCTCGTGTGCTTTATTAAATAGATCGAGTAGCTTAATGGCGTGTTCGTGATTGTTGCAGACGAGGAATGTGTCATCAATATATCTGCAATACAGCGTAATACCATCGACTACGTGCTTAAGCTTTTTTTGTTCTAGGTTTCCCATAAATATATCGGCAAGAATTGGGCCCAATGGGCTACCCATGGCAACTCCATCGATTTGGCGGTAAAGGACATTATTGGATTGGAATTGTATGTTTTTTGTACATAAAAAGAGTAGCTGTTTAAAATCATGGATTGGTAGGGGTAGAAGTTCAGGATAATCACATATGATCTCTATCGTTTCTTCCAAGGGGATGTTTGTGAAGAGCGATGAGACGTCAAATGAAATCATAAATTTATCGGAAACATTTAGGTTGTCGAGTTTATGTACAAATTCAAAACTATCTTTTAGACTGTAAGTTGTTAGTTTCTTTCGGATTGGTTCAAGGCACTTTGTCAGCCAGCGGGCGAGTTTATGGAAAGGCGAATTGGCCATGGATAATATTTGTCTAATCGGGATATTGGGCTTGTGAGTTTTGGGTAGGCCGTATAAGTACGGTAATTGTGATCCTTTAGGTTTAAGTTCATTGTATGTATGATTATCTATTAGATTTTTCTTTAGGAGATCTCTCAATTTATTTACAAGTCGCTTCTCTGTCGTCTCTGTTAAATCTTTCTGGGTATTATCGATGATAAATTTAGTGGAATCATTTAAAGTAGACATTATTTTGCTAATGTATTCATCTCTGTTAAGAACGACTACACCGGAACCCTTATCTGGACGAAGTAGCATTATTGTTTCATCTTTCACAAGTTTTTTCAAAGCTAGTTGGTGATCTTTAGTCAACACTTTCGATTGTGGGGTTGGTGTCGTTATGTACTGGTTTGTAATGTCAACTAGTTTCGATTTCAACCAACCACTTTCACTGTTAACTTCATCCAATTAATTTCGGATTTTCAGCCACAACCTAATAATTATTATTATAACTTACAGCAGTATCGGTTAAACAGTTAGCCTACCACTACTTGGTCATCTGTACATACATTTGTTTGGATTGTATAGTTGTCGTACTAAACATTGTAGAACCACTCTCAATCATCAAGCATACTAAGCGAATGGGAAGTTTTTCCACAATATCTACTTCAGCAATTGTTCTCATATCTACGTCTAACCAAAATTTATTGTTTCTAAGTTAACTAGTGTATTTTTTCCATGCTTAGGTAGTTAGTTATTTTTTCTTTGATCAAATCACTCTTTACTACGTAGGGATGCTTGACGAAAATATAGATTGGCTTCTTGTATTTCATATAAAAGAAGTATCTGGTGGTGGACTATGTAGTCCTCAAAGAATAGAATCTGTCTTAGTCAGTTGAGATATCTAAATGCACTATTCTCCACAGAGTGCATATAGTATACCCTGTTTCACTATTGTTTCTTCAGTCAACTCGTTCCCCAACCTTTTTTATCTATCATCCATTTAGTTAGTGGAGATTCACTTCTATATTTTGGAATTCCCTCACATATGGATTATGTATGTTTACCCATCTTTTAATTTTAGATTGAACAAGCGAATTCTATTTCTGGTGTTGATATCAAAAATTTATTTCTTGAGTTAAGAAAATGTCGTATGGGTATTATCCAGACAGCTGACCAGTTAAGATTTTGTTATCGAGCAGTCATTAAGGCTGCGGATACTTTACTTGGTATGTCAGTTGATCAAAGACCGTTTGCCAAGGTAAACCCAACATACTTATATTTATCTACCATAATATTTATTCCTAAGAGTTCAAATGAATCTCTACCATCCATACGTTTCTATGGGAACTTATCAGTCAATACATTTAAAAGGATTTTAAAGTAATAAAAAAAAGCCTCGAAATATAAAAAAGTGTGGTAATAAGACAATAGACTTCTCAGTCATTAGAAATATTTGTAAATTGAGTGAGTTTTCGACTAGTATTGATTCTAAAAAATGATGCTTAATAGATCTAACATCTGACTGACACTATTTTAATGTAGTTCATCCAGTAGTAGTACGTTTGCCAGCAGTACCAAAACTGTTGATTTCATAGCTTGGAAACTAATAAACTTTTCACTTCCTAACCCATCATTGACTTTAGTCATAGGACACAGAGAGTCCACCGAGGGGAGTTGAAAGATGCTGATTCCAAAACAATGGTGAATATGGGCTCCAGAATCCGAAGAAAACAAATGGTGTATGAACTCATTGTTGGTCACCGACTGAGACCGCATCTCCTAACGTTGTTCCACTGTGTTGTGGATTAGACTTTCAGGTCGAAGGCTCTGCGTGTGATCCCCCAAGAAAACCACCTGTTTCGGTTTACACAACCGGATAGTATCACAGCACAAACACAAATCAAATGACGATTACTACTGGAAATACTATTCGTACTTCAATTAGCGTTCAGAAGAATCACGTTAACAATGATTTGATAAAATTCATTTTTATGTTCTTTATATATACTACGTCAACTATATACTCCCCTCTATTCTCATTTTGTGTATTCTAATTTTTCAACTTATACAATAGCTCACCTATGGTGGAAACCCTGTCCTATCCAAACGATCTCAAATCACTGACTGGTCGAAAGTTGAGTGATACCACCGACTACGAATAAGGAGACCACGTATACCCTTCAAACTGGCCTCCTTCAACGTTCGCACACCTGTGCAGATAGGACAACAGGTAGGGTCGGCTATTTCCTTAGAAAGCCTCAGCATCGATGTCTGTTGTCTATCCGAGACAAGTATTCAAGACTCTAGTGAAGCACTACAAATTCGCTCTCCATCTGTCGCTTCGAAAAGTTGGTTTCACGTGCGTTTATCCAGAGACCCTGTGGCATCTTTGTCTGTTTTTTTTGGCGCTGGTATTTCACCAAGCACCAGAGTTAAGGTAGCGCTAATGGATTGAATCCTCTTTACCAGTCCGTTATATGCTGTTAGATTAGAAAGTTCCATCAAATTACGAAGACGTCGGTGTAAGAAACAATGTCTTCTCGTCATCTCCACTTATGTTCCTACAGATTGTAGCCCGGATTCTATCAAGGATGCGTTTTATCACCAGTTAACTGTTCGTTTACAGAAAGTGAGTTTGACAGATATTGTAGTACTAGACAGAGACTTGAATGCTTAGGTCGGGCGTCTAGACACAGAAGCGAGTCGTTTAGGTGGTCGTTGGGGGTTTGTTGGTCGCAGGTGAAGGAACGATGACTAACTACTGCAACTTTGAGTAGACTACAACCTGTTTCTGGCTAACACTCACTGCTGGCGCAGTCATCGCCGACGTGCTACTTGGAGTTCTCCTTCTGCATCTAAAGCCTGGACTCAGGTTGATCACATCGCGATCGACTATCGCTGGCGTGGTTGTGTACAAGGATGCCGCTCATTTTGGAGTGCCTATCTGGATTCTGATCGTGCCCTTGTTTACACTAATCTTATCTTGTGTTTCATACGCTAACAAATTCATCGTTCCAAATGGATCGACGTCAGCGAATTGGATGCAGCTTCTGTTGCAACTAAATATCAAATCTAGTTAGGTTCAAGGCTAGCTACCATCCCACGGAAAAGTATAGATGAGCACTGGTTGCATTTGCATGACGCCATGAAAATGGCGAGTAAATTCGCTTGCGGCTTCGCGAAATGCCCCGCTTATAAGCGCTGAATTTCTACAGGATCGTTACAACCCGTTGACGCACATCGGTCTATTCCGAGTGACTGCGAGCTTGACCATAAACGAAGATTATTATGTAATGAAATTGTGCGAAGTTTGCGTATGGACCAAGAAGCTTGGTGGTCGGAGCGTACTAACGCGTTGGAAGCAGCAGCTGCATCTTGTGACTTCCTGAAGCTCTTTCAACTCATCCGAGACACTGGCAGCAAGAAGTCAGGTGTATGAAACAATCTGTCAAGCTGGCAGAATGTCCATCGATAACATCCACCGACATCTTGAACGGTAGTCTGAGTTTTTCGAGCAGCAGTTTAACTGGTCTGCTGCCCCGGCGACGTCGATTAGACTGTCCTGCTCTCCATGGCAGGTGGCGACTGGTCCACCTGACGAGGCGGAAATCTGTAAGGAACTCCGACTCTTGAAGTGTCACAAATCATCAAGCTCAGATGACCTACCTCTGGCCCTTTTTAAAGTGAATGGAATGTACATGACAAATGGCTGACTGAATCACGATAAACCCTCAGTCGGGACCTTTAACGGATATCTGATTTTGTCAAAGTTATCCTACTTAAGCATACTAGAACCTGAATAGTATCATATGATTTTAAAATAACTGTGTTACTACAGTAGCCTAGTACATAAAAACCAGCGAAGAACACCGATAAATGTACAGTCAGTATGAGTGTTGTACGGACTAATCCACGTATGAGTTTTTTTATTGTCATATCTAAACGGATTAGTTACAAGCAAACTGGAAAAATTTCATGCACAAGAAAAATAGATTTTCTATCTTTGTCATGTGAATGATAATTAGTTTGTCGTGTTCAAGCTTCGAATGTGCTTGTATGTTTAGAAATAATTGCAATCTTGACTGCACTTTAATCTTTACCACAGATCCGTTCTGCTGATGCTTACTGTGGAGTAAATCATTTCGAATATCTCAAGAATTCTCATTATTGCGAGATCTCATCTTACTTTGTTTTATAAGCAGGTTTTCAGTTTATGCCCTACCCTGTTTTCATTACAATTGCCAGTTTGAACCGGATAAGGAGGAAGAGGAAAATGTGTCGGAACCTTCAAGCGAAGATGATTCAGATGATATGAGCGAACAAGGCGAAGTTGAAGATCTTGCTCTGGATGATTTCGATTCAGAAGAAGATGTCGCTGTCGGTGATATCGAGACAGAACTGTTTAATCCATTGAATGATGTCGGTGTCAGGTTTAGAAATTATGAGTTTGGTTCTAGTCTTAATACCCAAAATAAAATCACTATCTCTCAGTTACGTAGTTTAAACTCTCTCATCACGTCTGAAGCTGATTCAGATCCACTCCAGTTACAAAAAGACCGATCGTCAGTTGAACCAAATCACTTGCCAGATTACTCAGACATTAATATGGTCCTAAGAAGTCAAGTATATCACGCCTTCGAAAAACCAGAAAATGGACTATCCGAATTATCCACTGCATCAAATATTCATGCAAATTCATGTAACAGGTTAGTATACTGCAATAACACCATTGTACACAAGGCGCAATAAAATTGCACTATATTCGAAAATATTTTTCGTCCTTTCATTCATATTACAGGAGTATTTCTGTTTTAATTCTCTTGGAATATCCTATCACAGTCAGTAAAAACTATTTTATTTATTTGGCTATGTCTCTGAAATAAATTTCGCCACTGAATGACATAGCTGTTACTCCTGTAAAAAGCTACTGCTATTTATTTTTGAACTAAGCCGGTCGTCTACCTGATTTCGACAGTAATATATTTATTAGTAGAAAACGGAATCATATTCACCTGTCATTAAAACCATTCAAACGCACATGAACCAAGGCAGTGACCGTGCCTATTTCCTTGGTAGATATGTGGAGAACACATGATTAGTAGTTACTGACTGCTTTTTCAAGTTTACACTAAATGTCAGTTATAGATGACTATAGCAGACAGCAACAACGTACATATCCCTCAGTCAGTAACAACGTAGAACATTGTACGTATGTACATCAGTTCGAGTTGCCACACCACATTAGCACAGAGATGCAGTTGTTGATTCAAATCCCGTAGTGGTAGAGGTAGTAAAAGTACAACCATTAATCGGAAAGATTAGGGTTTGAAGATGTTATTTAAAGAGTACAATCCAGTGAAATAAATTTGGAAAGAGAAAAAAAAGACAAGGAGGAATAATGAGATCAAAATTTGGGAGAACACAAAGAGTGTATGCACCTGCGCCATTGCAAACGATTTTGAGCCATGTCATTCAGGGTCTCTAACCATCGGTTGCTATCATCTCGCGGTCCCCAGCCAGGTAGTCTACACCTACCAACGTGGCTCAGTCCACTTGTCAGTGACTTCATGGACTTGTGCCATGTTTTGGTCTGGCCGCCCCTAGCTTTCTTCCAACCTACTCCTATACTATTGAACATCGCACGTCGAGGCAGTCGGTGGTTGGGCATACGTAACACGTGTCCCAGCCATCTCAACTGATGAAGTTTCACTACTTCATCAATTGATATGCCATCCTTACCTAGTACCCTTTTCCTAACAACTGTGTTACTTACTCATTGGTCCCAGGATATACGAGCAATGTTTCGAAGACACCTAAGATCAAATACTAGTAACCTACGAATATCCCCTACTCTTACCGGCCATGTTTCACTGCCATGAAGTAGGACGGAACGGACTGCTGCGCAGCAAACACGTCCTTTGGTTGGTAGACGGATATCTCGCCTATGCCATAAATGACGCAAGTTGGCAAAAGCTAGTCGAGCCTTCTGCATCCGTGCTGAGATCTCGTCACACACCAGACCACAGGGGTTGATGAGACTCCCAAGATAAGTGAAGCGGTCGACACGCCCAACTACTTCACTCCCTATCATTAGTTCAGGTGTCAATGCAACCCAATCCTGAAGCAACATTTTACATTTCGAGGGAGAGAATCGCATCCCGAACGTGCTTGCATTGTTGCTTAGAGTGGTCAGAAGACTCGGGATTTTGTCAGCGTCTTCACCAAATAAAATATGTCATCGGGATATTCCAAGTCAGCAAGTGAAACTCTCGGTAGAAGTTCAACCCCTGGAAATTTAGACTAGGATGGTGTTATCTCTAAAAGTATGTCGACCACAAAGTTGAATAAGAATGGAGAGAGTGGACAGCTCTGACGAACACCACTAGAGGTAATCAATTCTGATGATAGTTCGCCATAAGCTCTCACTCGACCAGTTGTGTTCGAGTAGAGAGCCTTTACAAGGTTAATGTACTTCTTTGGTACTCCTTTCAGTGACAAACACTGCCACAGAACTTCACGATCAACAGAGTGGAATGTCGTCTTAAGGTCGATACATAATACTATTGTGGGGCGTCTGAACGTGTGTCTGTGTTCTAGAATCTGACGTAGTGTGAATATGTGGTCTATACAACCACGTCCAGGTCGGAAACCAGCCTGGTTTTCTATAGTCTGTTCTTCACGAGCTTTAGTTAGGCGTCGAAGTATTATTGAAGCTAATATTTTAGACACTATATTAGTCAAACTGATTCCTCTGTGATTGTCACAAGAGGGCTTTTGTCCTTTCTTATAGACTGGCACAATCAGTGATTGAGACCAGTCAGATGGGATTACGTCCAGTTCCCAAATTCTACCTAAGACCTCAGTTAGTCTCACTGCTAATACTGAACCACCATCCTTAAAAATCTCGGGAGTAAACCTGTCAGGGCCTGCTGCCCTCCCTCGCTTCAGAATTCCTATCGGTTTTTGAACTTTGTAAAGAGTCGGAGGACCTACATTAACTTGCCATTCAGGTTGACTGGAGATCGTGGGAAACCGAAATGTGGCTGAAGGCCAGTTGAACTGATCCCTAAAGTGTTCTGCCTATCTATTCAATCTCCTGGATTCAGGATGTATAATATGTCCATCTTTCTCTGAGATTGTTTCGCTAACAGTCAGGTTCCTAATACCGGTTTCCTTAACGAGTCTGAACAATTGTCTGCTATTACTTATTCCCGCTGCCTTTTCTATCTCTCTTGCTTTCGCTACTCACCACTGTTCACGACCATTGCGTAGACTTCTTGCCAGCTTGCGCTTAAGCTGACTCCGCTCTTCATTATGTTCCGAGCCAGGTGGAATGAGTTTCCGAGCATCTATCAGTGCGGTAAATGCTGTTGAGATCCAGTGTTGCTCCCTAGTTTTGTGGTTTACTGTACTAGTAGATATCACTGTTGTTTCCACAGCTTTTCGGATATCATTCCATGCTTCCTCGTGGTGGGCATCACAACATGGCTGCCTAACTGTTTTCCTAGTTGTTCCTGAAATATACTGTTAGCTTGACTATCATTAAACAGGACCCTAAGAGGTTTCCTTGCAGCGTCTTTCCTACGTCCAGTAAGACGCAGGCAAATACGCGCTCGCACTAGAGCATGATCTGAATCTAAGCATGTGCTCCAGAATGAGCAACAGTCTTCTATCGAACCCCTCCATCGGTGGCTGATAGCGATGTGATCTATTTGGATCCAACGTTGGGAAGAATTAGAGGGTCGCCATGTTAGAAGATGTTTTTCCTTATGCTTAAAGTTAGTATTTGCAAGGAACTTGCGGTTATCTGAGCATAGCTGCAACAGACGGTCACAACTATCTATTGTTTGAGCCACGACGCTATAAGATCCACCCAGGTGTCTTTCCCTATCGCTTAGTGTACCTACTTGAGCATTAAAGTCACCAGCCACTATTACTACATCAGAGCGCCTAGGTTTTCGGAGAAGGTCGGAGAGCTTTCTGTAAAACTCATCTTTTACATTATCTGAGCTGCAGTCAGTGGGAGAATAGGCAGAGACGACGAAGAGGCAACGACGAGTGTCCCTATCTTTCCGAGTTCTTACTGTTCCTTTTAGTCGGACAGCGCACAAACGACTGTCTACTGGGATCCAGTCTAAGAGAGCTAGTTCTGCCCTAGGACTCAATGCTACACCTACACCGGCGAGGCCACGAGAAGCAGCATCAGGGCTTCCAGATACACGAAGTGTGAATCGATTTGGTTCTTCGTTTTGACGTGGTGAAGTCAAATGAATGACGCTACTCGGATCCTGTGTGCGCGTTCCGGAGACGCAGCACACATCGATGGCGCGAGATTCTAAAGTCCTAGCCAGTGTTCGGACGTTATAAGCTCCAACATGAAGTTTAGAGCGTGGTTTCAGGAGACCAGGAATAACGTTCCGCGTACTCGAATCGTTTGCCCTAGCGGTACGAGGTGATAAACGGACGTGAGAAGGGTTAGTCATGGAGATAAGAGAGATATTAGGAGCTGTAGGAAGGATTTGAATGTGACCAACGTGGTCTCATGTGCTGTTACGGGTAGGAGGGCTGATATCACCTCCAGGCTGCCCACACCGTGGAAGGGTATTTCTTGAGGAACCTGAAAAGGAAATTGGATTAGTGTTGGTCTTAACGACCTGGGAGCGTGACCACAGAGCCCAAGGGACAACTGCTTGAGGCCGGTCACGCACGGCCATTTGTGGGAGGTTTTTGACGTGTTAGCTCCGTTTTTCAAAGGGTCTTACCGCCGGAGACGGAAATCCGTGAGGTAAGGTGGGGTGTGACATTTTTAGGGTCGACCTTTTCTAACCCCTTCCTTCGTTGTGAGAAGGCAGCATCGCTGCAGATGCTGGTTGTCCGAGGGAAACACCTTACTGCTGTCACATTCCTCTACAGTCAGCAGTACGACTTCGCCCTCAGACCTTGAGTTGCTGCTTTTAGTCTTACCGTTCTCCAATCGACCTGCCTGGCATGGCAGAACCTACAGGAACATATGTTCCAGTCAATATAGCTCGGTTGGGTCATCACGATAGGCAAGCCCGACCACCGTGTCAAGGTAGCAGTTTCGGTCGGGATATGTTCTCGAACTAGAGCATGGTTTGAGTTTAAACATATACTCTATTATTAGCAATAGTCTTCTATCGAGCCCCTTCTACAATGGCTGATGGGAATGTGGTGTATTTGAATCCATCATTGAGCCGACTGTGGGGGGTCGCCACGTTAGACGATGTTTTTACTTATACCTAAAGTGTGTGCTTGCTTGAACATATTTGCAGCAGAAGGTCACCATTATCTGTTCCCTGAGCTGTGGCAATGTGAGATCTGCCTAAGTGCATTCAGGTTCGGTTTAGTCTACCTGTTTGAGCGTTAAAATCACCTTCCACCATAGCTTATAAAATTCATCTTCAACTTCATCTGAACTGCAATCAGTGTTATCATAGGCAGAGACAACGAAAAGGCAACGGTATGTGTGTCACTATCTTTTCATGTTCTTATTGTTCCGTTTAGTTGGACAGCTCAATTGCAACTGTCTGTAAGAATTCAGTCTAACAAATCTTGTTCTGCTTTCGAACACAATGATTTACCTATACCAGTGAGGTCAAGGGAAGTAGCAGTAAGGTCTCCAGACACACGAACTAAAGTGAAACGAATGTCCGTATGCGCGTTTCGGAGACGCAGCATACATCGATGGCGCAATAATCTAGTCCTGTCTAAAGAACCCTGTTGTTCTATCTGACCCACACACACACACACACACACTAGGTTCAAACATTAAAAACTCCAACATGTAGTTTGGAGTGTGGTTTCAGGAATAACATTTCGTGAACTTGAATCATTAGCATTGTTAGCTCGTGATGATGAAGTTGTACAAGAAGGATTATTTTTGGGAATGAATTAATAGGTGAGGTAGGGATTTGGTCACAAACTGATCTCGAGATTCGTTAGAAGTATGAGGGTGGTTGTCATCCCCCGCTGCTCACATCGTAAAAGGATGTTTCTTCATAAGGGACCTAAAACGAAAACTGGATTTGTGGTGGTCTTGGAGACGTGGGAGCGTGACCACAGAACCGTAGGAACAACTGGTTGAGTTCGGTTACCTCGGACATACAACTATGTTGTCTGACTCGGATGGCAATTCACTACATATCCTTACATAAGTGGCATCAAATAGAAGGGATTTTATAGGGTGATCTACTTGTTCGCAACCTCCCAGTGTAAATGTGACCATCAAGCGATACGGTTGGTCTGACAATATTGCACTTGTTCTGTTTTTAGATTTTCAAGAAGCTAAACGTTCAGACGTAGTACTCGTAGTAGATGACTTTAATGCCCAGGTAGGTAATCGAAACCAAACAGAAAGGCATTTAGGTGGGTATTTTAGTATTCCGGCACAGCGAATAGATAATGGTGATCGTCTATTGCAACTGTGTTCAGACAGTCGTTTATTTGTAGCAAACACTGATTTAAAGCATAAGTAGAGACAGTTTGACATGGCGACCCCCTGCATCACACGACCGATGGATTCAAATGGAAAATATTGCCATCAGTCATCGCAGGAGAGGCTTGATAAAAGATTGTCGCTCATTCTGGTGTACCTGCTTGGACTCCGACCATGCTCTAATACGGGCACGTATCTGCTTGTGCCTCACTGGACGCAGAAATGCCACACTAAAAAGACTCATTAGAATTGAATTGAGTAATGGGAAAACCAAAAGCTCCAGGAACAACTGAGGTCACATTTAGGTAGTACTGAAAACGAGGCTGACCCAGATATTGCTTGGAAAGATATACAAATATCTGTGGAGACAGTAGTGACACTTGTTAATTACTTAAACCAAAGAGTTACAAAAAACCAATGGATTTCCTCTAAGTCTATTTCACTAATGAATTCTCGTAAACTCATCCCATCAGGCTCTAAACACGATAAAGAGCGAAAACAAATCAGATCTAGGTTAAACAAAAGTCTATGGAATGATCGTGAGCAGTGGTGGGCAACGAAAGCAAACTAGATTGAAAAGGCGAAGGCTGTAGGTAACGCAAGATAGCTCTACAAACTAATAAAAGAAACAGGAATTAATGAGTCAAGTGTAAGTGAGACTATTTCGGAAATAGACGACACTCTTATCTGCTCCCAGTCCAGACGTTTAGAACGATGGACGGAACATTTCAAGGAGCATTTCAGCTGGCCCTCGGCTACTCTACAACTACCCTCCATCCCCAGACAGCCTGAATGAAACATTGAAGTAGGTCCCCCGACGCTAGCTGAAGTCCAGAAAGCTATAGCTAATCTGAAACGAGGAAGGGCAGCTGGTTCAGATGGATTGGCTCCAGAAGTCTTTAAAGATGGTGGTCCAATCTTAGCGATTAAGTTGACTAATATTTTAGCTAAGATCTGGGAGTTAAACGTAATCCCATCTGACTGGTCACAATCACTGATTGTCCCAATACATAAGTAAGGGTCAAAATCATCCTGTGATAACCATAGAGGGATTAGTTTGAATAACAGCATCTAAAATGCTTGCATCAATAATTATCGGACGCCTAACTATGACTCGTGAACTGCAAACACGAGAAAAGCAGGCTGGCTTCAGACCTGGTCGTGGCTGCATCGACCACATATTCACCATTCATCAGGTTCTAGAACACAGGTATGCTTATCGGCGTCCGACAATTGTGGTCTTTCTTGACTTAAAAGCAGCATTTGACTCTGTAGACCGCGAGATTCTGTGGCAGTGTCTGTCATTGAAAGGCGTACCTCAGAAGTACATAAACCTTGTGAAGGCTCTTTACTCGAACACTACCAATCGAGTCAGAGCTTATGGCGAACTGTCATCTGCTTTTGCAACATCAAGTGGTGTCCGTCAAGGCTGTCCACTTTCTCCATTTTTGTTTAATTTCATCATAGACCTATTGATGGAAATAACATTCTTGTCGACTGAATTCTCGGGTATTGATCTCCTTCCAGGAGGTTCACTTATCGATTTAGAATACGCAGATGATGTAGTTCTCTTTAGTGAAGACGCTGACAATATGCGGAGTTTTGGTAGCACTGAGCAACAATGCCAGAATGTTTGGGATGCGTTTCTCTCCCTCTAAATGCAAATTGTTGCTTCAGGACTGGTCAACACCTGAACTAAGGATAGGGAGTGAAGTAGTCGAACGCGTTGACAACTTCACTTATCTTGGAAGTCTGATCAACCCCAATGGGTTGGTGTCTGACGAAATCTCAGCACGGATTCGGAAAGTTCGTTTGGCTTTTGCCGACTTACGTCACCTATGGCGAAGGCGAGATATCCGTCTATCAATAAAAGGACGAGTATGCTGCGCGGCGGTCCGTTCTGTTTTAATTTACGGCAGCGAAACATGGCCATTAAGAGTAGAAGACACTCGTAAGCTACTAGTATTTGACCACAGATGCCTCAGAAATATTGCTGGCATTTGCTGGTGTCACCGGGTAAGGTTAAACACAGGGTATTAGGGAATGATGGTAAATCAGATGATGAGGTTGTGAATCTTCATCGACTGAGATGGTTGGGCCACGTATTACGTATGCCTGAACACCGATTACCACGACGTGCAATGCTAACCGGTGTTCGGGATGGTTGGAAGAAATTTAGGGGCGGCCAAACCAAAATGTGGCATCAGTGCTTGAAGTCACTAACTTCTAGTCTGAGCCATGTTGGTAGATGCAGACTACTTGGTTGGGGTCCGCGTGACTATCATAACCAATGGTTGGAGACTCTCAGTGACATGGCTCAGAATCGATCACAATGTCGTCGGTGTATACACTCCCTGTCTTCCCTTAAACTACGAGATTAAAATCGCTTCATATCCTTCTTTCTACGAACCAATTCTTTCTTCCTGTACTATATCCTTATATGAAACCTTTCTTTTATATATTATCACCTCTGAATTAACTACTTTCATGAATCCGGTGTTCATCTTGTTGTGTTAATGAGGTGTGGCAATTTGGACCGATGCACATATGTGCCTGGTCCTACGTTGTAACTGACTGAGATTTTCCACAAATTGATCTCTTATTATGAGTGTATTTTTAATTCGTTTATTGTCAGTTGTTTTCTACGTTACATGTTTACTTGTTTCTATTATTCATCAACAAATATTAATGAATGCCGTTATTATTGATTGTCATTTCAGGATTAATAATGCTTTACCAACCAGTCAAATAGAACCATTTCTTTCAAGTTACGAGATTAGTAAAAAGAATCCTATTTTGTCTACGCTTTCTACATCGCATTCAGTCACACCTAATTTCTATCCAAATAATACTATTTCGCGTTCGTTGCACACTATAGGATCGAACGTATCTTTATTAAATAATACTTCTGAATTTGAAGATAATTCCGACTCATATGCCAAAGAATATTTAGCTGCTTCGATAGATTTACATGAACGTCGTACTGCTCGTCTAGCTCGACAAGCCAGAATGCGTACACAAATCGAAGTCATACGTACACGAATGCGTGAAACAGATATGACACGCAAAAGATGGCTTCCAACTCATGTGCTCCAGTATCTCCGCCGATTTTATGCAGAAAGCGGATATGTAAAAAGTAAAACTGGTGCCGTAATCAGCAGTATCCTTGTAGTTGCCGTTATAAGTTTCGGTACGATTGCTTATATCTACTGGTAATTCTACTGATTAAAATTTAATATCATCTTTAACACTAGATAAATAAATCTTATCGACGCTCAATTTATTTTATCAAGGACTATGTCTTCTCCCAACTACTATGCGTTCAAATACTTCATGTAGTTCCTTCTCAGGTGACGATATCTGTTTATCTATAATATCAAATAATAAATGTCGTTGATACTTGGGTTATAAACATGAACCTACTCACAGACGTAGGTATATATTATTGAGACTTAAAAGCTAATCTCTCACTTTTTTTGCATTTCTTATTTATGAAAAGTGTTCCCACATTCTAATTTATATTGTTTTAAAATTAACTGATTTTGCCTATACATAATGTACTTCGTATTTTATAAAACCACAATGTTTAAAAAATAACCTATCACCATGATCATGCAATTATTTTACATCTATTCACTTGTTTCGGTATTATTTTATTCTTTGAGCTCTGTAACACAGAAGACACAATGTGGTTACATATCTAACCAGTTTCTTATTTGATCCATTGTAATTATTCTGCTACGATGTATGCAATTCAGATAAACAAAATTGTACACACGTACTTGTAATAACAAATATACTTTCATCCCTTTACCTCTCCAATAAAAATCTGATCAAATTATCTTTAAATGTACGAATAACGAACTAAAACACCTTAAAATGTGTGCGATATTTTCACTAATTCAATTTATGACAGCCTAAATTTAGGGAAATAGAACTGTGAATTGTACACTGATAAAATCAAACCTAAATGTGAACACATTATTACCATCGAATAAGGTACTCGAATGTCAATTTTTATTATTTTATCAGAATTTCAGTTCATTCACACATCACACCATTAGTTATTAATCATATGGATTGACGCGTGATCTCCATGGAATTCTTTCCATTCTATTCCAACTGTCATCAACACAAACAGTATTTTCTAATTCGGGAAATTGTTGTTTTCTATGATTTCATGTAAAACCAAATGAACTTAACGCCGTTCATTTCCACATGATATACTGTGCACGATTGCTGAGTGTTGATAACAAGAAGTGTCAGTCATTTAGCGGTTATTATGTAATATATTCAAGTTCCTTAACACATAATGAATATTTTTACAGGAACATATTAACAAATGCGTACTTACCAGAAAAATACCTGATCGCATCAATAACCTGGATGATTTAATAAAACATCTAATCCTAGCAGAATTACAGGTTTCTATCTGTAACCTTTTTAATGAAAGGAAACATTATAAGTCATATTCGCCGAAATCCTAAGATTATGAAAGGAAACAAAAGCCAAATCGATAATGACAATTAGCTAGACTGATCTATAATTTGTTCATAGTCTTTAAGACAATTCCAAATAACCGTAAAATCACTATTTCAGGAACTACCTCGAAAACCACTCAGTAGTCTAAAGATTTCCAAAATGTTAGAAACGCTACTCGGTATACTTGTAAGTCTCATCTAGCACGTTGTAAAGGTACTCATATCGTGGCAAAACAAAAACGTCTTTCGTGAAATGTTTCAAAATAAGAATTAAAAGGTTTATCTTGTTTACAAAAATATATAACAATAATCACAACGGTGGATAAGGGAGATACAGCGGTGTTTTGCAAAGAAAAACGAATTTGTTGAATTGTATATTCTATACAACTAGCCTCATAGAAGCGATTGAATTTCTTTACACCTGCGAGGCGGATTTAGACAGTCTGTCACTATTGGTGGTTCCCGTCATAAGAATATTGTCGACCGCATTCAATTTGGCTGAAGTAAACGTTTTCTGAAACAGTTTTGATTTGTTCTACGCTATTTAAATTTGTGTTGATTTCAATGCAGTTATTTACTTATTCTCTGAAGAAGCAACTTGCCCTAAGTTGTAAAAAATCAGGAATTTAATCATTTATTCACTGGGTTGTTACAATTATATCATCATTTTATTATATGGTAGATTATTCATGCATAGATGAATATAGAAAAGCTTTATTATAACCATCTATTAGGTTTCAAATTATTCAGAAGTCATCTGTTTTGAAATGTTTAGTTTAGGAAGGTCATACTAGCTTTCCTAAAACAATCATCTAACCGAAACTGAACAGTGTATTAGGCTCACTTGTTGCATCTTATTAGTTTTATTTACAAGATCATGTTATTTGTTTCCATAAAATTGCATACCACCAATTGTGCTTGACTACAGCATATCTACCGTAAAATGTTTTGTTTATTTGAACACAAACATTAGTAAAAAGAGCACCGAATACATATGTGCTACACGATAACAGTGAGGCTGTAAAGAGGTAGAGAATGTAAAGTGCGTATGAGAAAAAGAAAACAACAACGAACAGAAACTAGTGTGTAAGAGTGTAATAATAAAAATAAAAAATGTAACCAGAAAGCATTCTTCCAGTTAAACAGGTTACGTTCATTTTTTATAAAGTTACAGCACGATCATCGCTCGCTTCTATTCTGAGCCACGTCTGGTAACGTCTCGAGTCACTGTGTTCCACCATCTCTAGTAACCCAACCAAGGAGTTGTGAAGGACCAACAGAAACCAGTCCTGTACAGCTCTCTTTCATACTACAACACCATGTCATACACTGACCACCTCCGATTTTTCCAACCGGTCCCAGCATCGACAAGCAATGCACGACGTGGAATTCTCTGGGACGACATTCGTAGGACACGTCCAATCCACCGAAGTCGATGTTTCAAGATAGTGACACTAATTGAAATATCGTCACTGTGCCCGAAAACACGATGATAACATGGTGTTGACACGATGACAGCAATTCTTCGAAGACAACAATGATCAAACAAAGTCGTCTAACATCCTCAACTCGGGGAGGCCAGGTCTCACAGGCATAGAACAAAACTGTTCTCATCGATGTGTTTTATATCCGAACTTTCACATCCAGACTAACATCACGAAGGCGACAAAGATGGTCCAGATTGTTATAAGCCGCTCTGGCTTTCACTATACATGAATCGATCTCGTCGTTCACGCCACCACCAGCACTTACGCAGCTACCCATCAGATACACGAACTTCTCGATTACTTCTATCTGCTCACTATCCAGAGTGAGTGAAGGTTCAGGGCCTATCAGTCTTGTAAAAGTGCTTTGCACTTCGATGGTGCAAAGCACATACAATACCAACGGACACTGACTGCTGAATAATTAAGTGTGGATTGTATGGCTTTGGTATAATCGCACAGTAAGATAATATCATCGTCACATTCCAGGTCGATAAGTCTTTCTCCAGACAACAGGTCCACACCACCATTACCTCCATCCATCAGAACTGTTTCCAGAACGTCGTCGATAGAAAAGTTGGAGAGGAATGATGAGGTTGGGCAATCCTGCCTAACCTCACTGCTTGAATCGAACAGTGGAGAGAGATGGTTGCGTGCCCTCATTCTATCTGATGTGCTAGTATAAAGAGCTTTCAAGACGTTAATAAACTTCTCAGGCACACCTTTCTTCAATAGACCGTCGCAGATGACAGTCCTGTCCAACGAATCGAAGGTGGCTCTAATGTCAAGAAACACTATGGTTGTTGGCTTGTGATGAGTATGACGGTGTTCTAACATTTAGAGGAGGGTGAAGATATGACCAATACATCCTCAACCAGAACAAAAACCAGTCTGCTCCTCACCAGTCAATCTTTCTAAGGTTTTGAACAATCTACGAAGTATGACAGAAACTAATAGTTTGGACGCAATCAGAAGTAGACCTATCCCCCGATAGTTGTTACAGAAACGACGTGAATTCTTCTTGAAGATAGGGGCAACTATCTACTCATTCCATGATGTTGGAACACACTCTCTCTCTAATTGCCAGACATTTGTCAACAACTCAGTCAGTTCCTTAACGATAAAGTCACCAACATCTTTAAAAAGGACCAGAGGTAGGTCATCTGAGCTTGGTGATTTGTGACACTTCAAGAGTCGGAGTTCCTTACAGATTTCCGCCTCGTCAGGTGGACCAGTCGCCACCTGCCATGGAGAGCAGGACAGTCTAATCGACGTCGCCGGGGCAGCAGACCAGTTAAACTGCTGCTCGAAAAACTCAGACTATCGTTCAAGATGTCGGTGGATGTTATCGATGGACATTCTGCCAGCTTGACAGATTGTTTCATACACCTGACTTCTTGCTGCCAGTGTCTCGGATGAGTTGAAAGAGTTTCAGGAAGTCACAAGATGCAGCTGCTGCTTCCAACGCGTTAGTACGCTCCGACCACCAAGCTTCTTGGTCCATACACAAACTTCGCACAATTTCATTACACAATAATCTTCATTTATGGTCAAGCTCGCAGTCACTCGGAATAGACCGATGTGCATCAACGGGTTGTAACGATCCTGTAGAAATTCAGCGCTTATAAGCGGGGCATTTCGCGAAGCCGCAAGCGAATTTACTCGCCATTTTCATGGCGTCATGCAAATGCAACCAGTGCTCATCTATACTTTTCCGTGGGATGGTAGCTAGCCTTGAACCTAACTAGATTTGATATTTAGTTGCAACAGAAGCTGCATCCAATTCGCTGACGTCGATCCATTTGGAACGATGAATTTGTTAGCGTATGAAACACAAGATAAGATTAGTGTAAACAAGGGCACGATCAGAATCCAGATAGGCACTCCAAAATGAGCGGCATCCTTGTACACAACCACGCCAGCGATAGTCGATCGCGATGTGATCAACCTGAGTCCAGGCTTTAGATGCAGAAGGAGAACTCCAAGTAGCACGTCGGCGATGACTGCGCCAGCAGTGAGTGTTAGCCAGAAACAGGTTGTAGTCTACTCAAAGTTGCAGTAGTTAGTCATCGTTCCTTCACCTGCGACCAACAAACCCCCAACGACCACCTAAACGACTCGCTTCTGTGTCTAGACGCCCGACCTAAGCATTCAAGTCTCTGTCTAGTACTACAATATCTGTCAAACTCACTTTCTGTAAACGAACAGTTAACTGGTGATAAAACGCATCCTTGATAGAATCCGGGCTACAATCTGTAGGAACATAAGTGGAGATGACGAGAAGACATTGTTTCTTACACCGACGTCTTCGTAATTTGATGGAACTTTCTAATCTAACAGCATATAACGGACTGGTAAAGAGGATTCAATCCATTAGCGCTACCTTAACTCTGGTGCTTGGTGAAATACCAGCGCCAAAAAAACAGACAAAGATGCCACAGGGTCTCTGGATAAACGCACGTGAAACCAACTTTTCGAAGCGACAGATGGAGAGCGAATTTGTAGTGCTTCACTAGAGTCTTGAATACTTGTCTCGGATAGACAACAGACATCGATGCTGAGGCTTTCTAAGGAAATAGCCGACCCTACCTGTTGTCCTATCTGCACAGGTGTGCGAACGTTGAAGGAGGCCAGTTTGAAGGGTATACGTGGTCTCCTTATTCGTAGTCGGTGGTATCACTCAACTTTCGACCAGTCAGTGATTTGAGATCGTTTGGATAGGACAGGGTTTCCACCATAGGTGAGCTATTGTATAAGTTGAAAAATTAGAATACACAAAATGAGAATAGAGGGGAGTATATAGTTGACGTAGTATATATAAAGAACATAAAAATGAATTTTATCAAATCATTGTTAACGTGATTCTTCTGAACGCTAATTGAAGTACGAATAGTATTTCCAGTAGTAATCGTCATTTGATTTGTGTTTGTGCTGTGATACTATCCGGTTGTGTAAACCGAAACAGGTGGTTTTCTTGGGGGATCACACGCAGAGCCTTCGACCTGAAAGTCTAATCCACAACACAGTGGAACAACGTTAGGAGATGCGGTCTCAGTCGGTGACCAACAATGAGTTCATACGCCAT